CTTCCGACACAACTCTCAATAAAATAATATCCGAAGATTAATAGACATTCTCTTCAAAAACAACGCACTTAATTGCCACAATCCGTGGACAACCCTATGAATGACTATCACAAACCAAAACGTATTTCACACCTGTATGATTATGAAGTCTAAGGTCGCCGATTAATTCAAGCAATTCTAGGGTATACACGAGGTCTCATATCCTGGGATTAATGTGGCCTGAGATTCAAACGCACTTTAATTCAATGTCGAAGTTTATCATATATGGAATTTTACCTCCATTTCAACTACGCGCCTTAATAATGTGATGTTCAGGCACACAGAAAATTTTATTATTAGGTAAATCCAGAGAACAGTGCGTTCCTTGAGAAGCTGAAAGTGTCTAGACTATTCAAGAAATTTCCAGACTTTTAAAAAATCCGAAAATTCATTTCTGTGTTGACAAGAACTTGGCGCTGGACCCTGCCCTGTACCGAAATTGTGAGTCGGCTAAACAGACTCTAAGTCTTCCGATATTTTCCTCAGTACCTCTACACGAATTATAGCGCAGGGCCCGATTTTTAGCCATTTCATATCCACTGCCAAAGTTTATTTCCTTTAGATTCATTCCATCTGCGGCTTCGTGTTCCGAGTGTCTACTTGCTTTCAATTACGTATCCACACCAACGTAAAAAATGTAATTATCGTGCATGTGAAATAGTTTTCCAACAGACGACTGACAGAAAAAGCAAGGAAGGTAAGCTATCAGCTCTGAAGCGCCTGTGTCCGTGTTCCTTACGACAAATCTCAAGGCACTCCAAGAACGTAAATACGGCATCACGACCTCCAATGTTCTGAGAATCCATGCCGTTAAATCAGCTCGTTCAAATGTTTGTACTGACACTTTACGTCATTTTACCAGCATAAATACCGAAGCAACACCTCAAAATATGTCCGATTGTTCCTAAACGTCATCCTACCCCAACGCATTAGATGCTAAGCCACAACAGTTGATACAGCTTCCGTAAAATATCCGAATTAAACCCTTTGATGCCGACGCTCGCCTAAATAATATTTAAGAATTCAGTCCGTACCGCGAAGAAAACACCACATTTAACCATTGAAAATATCAACTGGTTAACGCTGTTTAAGGAAATAATCGCTGTTTACACTGAGAATCATAGTTCATCTGATTAATATTTAAGAATTCAGTCCGTACCGCGAAGAAAACACCACATTTCACCATTGAAAATATCAACTGGTTAACGCTGTTTAAGGAAATAATCGCTGTTTACACTGAGAATCATAGTTCGTCTGATTAATATTTAAGAATTCAGTCCGTACCGCGAAGAAAACACCACATTTCACCATTGAAAATATCAACTGGTTAACGCTGTTTAAGGAAATAATCGCTGTTTACACTGAGAATCATAGTTCGTCTGATTAATATTTAAGGATTCAGTCCGAACCGCGAAGAAAACACTTATCTTCACCATTACCAAGATCAACTGGTTAACGCTGTTTAAGGAAATAATCGCTGTTTACATTTAGAATCACACTAACTCAATAAAGTCTGTGGATAAAAAATTCAGAGTTAATTAATGTTAAAGTAAGTGGTTAATACAGTTAACACTGGGCTGTAGAGATAAAGAAACGATAATGTAGCTGAAAAAGCAGTTAACGGAAAGATAAGAATTCAAGCAATTCTATCCTACGATCATAAGCCGAAGGGTTAGAACAAAGAGTTCATTAATTTCCACTTTTAAGACAAATCCCATGACACAAAACACGTTTATAGTGAAACAGAATTTGAAACAATGTGACCCTGAGCTGCTAACAAAGAAATGGCGCACTACGACCAAATGCAACACAGCGAAATCAAAACCCACAGAGAAAAATCCTAAAATTTATAAATTTTCTATCAGTCCATGCGTAAGAAATTCTTCTCTAGAACTGACTATCAATTTTAAAATAATTCCTCTAACATCAAGTTGGCTATTGTTCACATTATAAGGTATATTTCATAAAGAAGACGTTTATTGTTAAAATTATCGGCTAAGACAATTGCTATTGAACCTGAGACGTTTTAATTACTGGCTAATGAAATGATCACGAAACAACCAGGGTAGACCAGCGTTGTAGGCTATTAAGTAGGATTTGACGTCGGTCAATTTCTGTCAGAATACACGGCGCAACATTGCAGAAGAGGCCATCTTCGTTCTTACCGAAGTGAGAATTTGAAATCTCATATAAACAGCACGTGATATAGCGCATTTAAATAACCAACCACGTCTTACTTACTCCAAAATACGCTCAAATTTTGACATATGACATAAAACGTCGAACCCTAGACTTTTGAATAGAGATATGTACGCAGTAACAATAAACCGGAGTTACATTAAAGAGTTAAACACAATTTTTAAAAGATTTGTCTCGTACTTTGTCAAAAATATCTCATGGAATGTCAAGAGTAAGATATAAATGTAACGAATGTTGGTACTCAATTTGAAAATTCCATTATGCATTTTCGCGTCATGTGGCCCCGAATTCGGAAGAAACGCCTTCGAGAATCCCGCAACAAGTTCATGAATTCGCAAATTTTCAAGATGGCAATATAATGGCGGTGATCATCACGTGTTATTGGAGGCGATGGTTAAAATATGATACACCTTGAGAACCTGACGGAAACTGCACTTGTTATCTGTACAATCCGCACTCTGACAACCTTTGACCTAAACGTTATTACCTTGGTTTTACTCAGTAACTCAAATAACATGACTAGTAACAATTGCGTCCTCTTAGAATCAACTATAAATTTTAACATTATTTATACGACAACAGAACGAAAAACGTTCTAAACAAATACTTGTTACAACAAAGGAAATTTTGTAGAAAAACACCACTTTTGAATTTAAATGTTAACGGATGCGCAAAGCAGGTTTTAAAATTTACGACGACGTTCACTGCGTCAGATTTACTTTAGAATTAGGATCTACTTGCTACAATGTGTAGGGTCCCACTTGAGGACCTCAAAGTCGAAGATTCATAATCGCCTTCACACAAGCCCGACAAAGGACCCTGTCCCGAGGTCAGACGCACTCAGTCCATTTCTTCATAACCTATTCCTTTACTACCCATTTTAATATTATCTTCCATCTACGCCTGTGTCTCTAAAGTGGTCTCTAGTCTTCAGGTTTCACGTTTGAGGTTTTTTAAGCATTTCTCATCTTTCATTTTCACAGGTTCATCTTATTTACCTTTATATAATTACGCGAAAAATATTTCATACACAGCACAAATTATGAAAGTTCCAGTCCAATAATCATCCACACTGATAAATAATTGTTACATCACCATAAATATTAAGTACGCCTAACAAACAAATAATACATATATTACATTATTTTATATTCATTACAAGATGAACTATAAATTATTTCCAGTTCATATCGAATGTCTGAAGATTTGGCTAATATTTGTTAATGTTAATTAACTGCTATTAACAAAGCTACAGAGAGTCAAGATTAATTTTAATCATTTAAAAGAGAAGATTAATTGTTTTTTTTTGGTATCCTAGAATGTAATTACATTCTTTAAGAACTAATCACTAACAAAGACGCAATGCATTTCAGCTGAAGGAATCAATTTATAATGTAACGACGTTGTCGGAGGCACACGCACGAGTTCAGATGCACTCACAACTCCACGCGATAGGCCAAATACGAAACCGATGCATTGTTGATTTTTCTGTCCAGCTGTGCATTTAATAAGTTCCACAGCTGTTCAGGTTAATTGCCGTTGAGGTCAGAAGTGTTATACACGTGACCCGGAGATCAAACAATTGATACATAACACAAATTAGCCTACAAGTAAGACGTTGTCATACTCTGCAGACATTACATTTACGAAACCGCTTCTTGTGCGAATAATAACAACACAAAATGTAACAACCAAACAATCTTATGGTTCGGGTACTAGTATATCATTCAAAAAGTCCCGGGATCGACCAGAACTGTCAGCACTTATTTAAAAACGTGTCAAATTACCTAAATCCCGAAACACCGCGACAACACGGTCTCAGAAACACACAGCAAATCAAGAATATTGGCAGAAACCTTTCGAGAATTAAAAATCACATATATTTAAGCTAACTAGGCCTAAATTAAGTAGTCTTAAAGCCTATTAAGTGTCTAAAACGGATCTTATTTTCAGAAGCTGATTAATCACGAATTGTGAAGTGGTTGCTGGTAATAATCAGCGATGCTGAAGGATAATTACATTCAAGATTGAATTTTTACGTTCTCAGTTTTACTTTAGAGATGAAACACGTCAGTGGTCAAATGAAGGGAGGATTTTATCGACATATACCCACCCTTGCAGAATATAAAACACTGTATTAATATATACACCCCAAACAAATATGTGTTTTGCAATTATGCATCCTAGTAATTGTATTATAACTATTCTCATACCACGAGCATTGTCCAGTGGTCAATTGCAGTGTTATGAGAGTTTGCTGATACAACGCGAGTATTAAATACGGACGTATAAACGGAAATCTGTGTTGGTGACACAAATGTCACATGGACTGACGTCAGATAAGAAATAATAAAATGGGGATTAATTCTAAAATTCCTAAAACACATTTTAACTTAATATCCCTAATCGACATATTAATATTTCTACATACAATACACGTGTTTCGGTTCATCAATTACATATGTAATATTTAATCGAATTTAATATTATAAATAATCACGGTTTTCAGGAATTATGTTAATAAAAAAATTTTGGAAAGCGTTTTAAAAACAGAATTTGAAATAAAAACTATTATTTACTTAATACTGAACGCCTGGCTCTATTTTGAGTTGAGATTGAAAATTCTATTTTCGTTTCATCATTTTAAAATGTCTGTCATCCACTTTAAGTGTTAAGTGTAACCGTCTGTAACCCCCACCAACTAAATACAGGGCCGGGCTGGGGTAGATTTATAGTCGGAATATGTAAAAATAAGCATGAAAAATTAGTCATGGTACTTTCATATGACAAAAGCACGTCATTTATTTATGTAGATGATTTGCTCTGAAACGTCAGTATACAACAAAGTAAGTGATTTACGTACAGAAGTCAAATATATAAACTATTCTTAACAGTTGAGATGCATTCTTATTCAGTTGTTTTTTAATTATTATTATTATTATTATTATTTTTCCATTTAAAAACAAACAAAACTCTATCAACAACTTGAAATAAAGATCACAATGTTCGGTGAGAATGGATGCCATATTTCAAATATCAGGTTTCTCAAATATTGTTAACACACGCAAACACACAGGCCTTTGTCTTCCACGTGTTGAGTGAGGAGACACAAATGCGAAGTTCATTACAATTATCTCTGACAACGGTTTCATCAATTTTGTTTCAAAAACAACTGCATTATTCTTCAAGTAAGTCATTAAAACGTAAATGAATCTGTAGTTCACAGAGGCTGCTATATAGTAACATTTCGAAATGGGAGTAATATATTTATTAATATTGTGGGTGTTGTAGACCAAATTAATTGTTGTTACCGACAATTAAGGATTCGGGGTACAGAAATATAATAGCCTATTAAGTTTAGGCGACCTGTCAAAATCACTCTGAGAATTAACACAAGCCATAAACTTCAACAAGACTAAATAAAGTTAAACAGTCCAGGAATTGCAGGAATTATGGGTAAATACCTCCGGAAAAGTTATTACATACAGAAACCCCAAAACAGTACACAAATTGTTTGTATGTGTGTAAAATAAATCAGAGAATATTTTTTTTAAAAAAAAATTAAAATTCTATCATCTTGTCATATTTACGTTAAGTCAATTATTTTAATCTTCGAGCGGGTTGTTAATTCGCGTTATGAAATTTCATAAACACTTAATGTATCTTAAAGACACGCAACAAATAATCCAAACAGAACTACATTAAAACATGACAAAACGTTACACGTGCTTTCGCATAAAATCCAGGTATTATTAATGTGTACTGTTTTCCATGACGTGAAATAGGTTTCGAAATTAATTTCAGTAGTTTAGGCTGTGACTGCTCGCGTCAACACATAATTCCCACTCAACTGATGTCCCGACAAGTCACCTGTCGGTCGCTAACCAGCCATTCCCTGCGAGAATGTTCGTATTTAACATAAAAACCGTGCCTTCTCAAACTCTTAACCGGGTGGACTTTGACACAATAAGAAATTTAAATTCGTATTATGTGGGCTCCTTTTTGGACCGCAAGTCCGTTGACACTGCTTTGAAATGTTTAAACTGGCCTGTGATTTAAAAACTGTTATTAGATATGAACGTAAATATATTCCGAATTATTTCGAAATCACGATAATCGTTTTAAATTCTATTTTAAAATTCGTAACCGCGTATAAGAGAATTTTAAACAGCCTACTCAGACGGTATTGTGCTTTCAATTGAATTGCTAATTTTGTGCAAGGTATAAATTTGGCTTTTGAAGCACTTTTAATACAAATTAAATTTATTATTATAATAATTTCTGGTCTACGTGTTAGGTTCTGATATTGATCGCCATTTATAAGCTCGTCTTCATAAAGGTATGAGAACTGCAAACCAATTCTGAATTATATTTTATTAACTTAAGTAATGTAAGATAAAGCCCACCAAAAATATTTCCGAAAGTATTTTCTGTCTTAAAAGAAATTAATCAGAGATTTATGACCTTAAAACTTCGAAGGGATCCAAACGCTTAAACAATAAGTCCGGTGTTATTCATGCGAATTTAGAGACTTTGCTTTATGTAGAAATAAAGATATTTATTACAAGTAAAAGTCACAGATTATTAATTAATGTTGGCACAGATATTTTTGTTCTAATTGTTCAGAACTTGTCTAGATTCCTTTGAAATGTTTTTTTTTCTTTCACTTCTTAAATCAACGTTCACAACATTAAATTATTACAAATACTGGCTCCATCTTTGAAAGTTCATTTTTAACAGGAAAAACATATTTCATTTTTCTAAAAGAATATAAAACTTTGGATTTGTTTAAACTATACAACAATTGAAATGGTTCCAACCTTTAAAAATAATCAGGATTTGGAGTGTTTTTCGATTTAAATTATTTTCACAACATTAAATGTCGTATTTTTTTTCAATTTTCAAATCGGTGCGAATAGTCAAGGATTTCGGGGCGTGAAACTATGAACAAGCCTGCTGTGGTTAAGTTAATATAATAGAGTAACGTAACAAATTTAGAATATGGCACAACTGTTTTATGAAAAACAAGTGCGTAATAATTCCGCCATAATCTACCAAAAGACATTACGACCAAAAAAAATGCCTTCAAGCCCAGTTATCTTCATACACAGTCTATTATCATCTATTGGCAAAATATTGGGTGAAGTCACTTGCAAGTCACTTCTCAAACATTAAAACATATTTGTGTACATATCCACGTAATGTTCTCTTTCAAATATTAATTCTGTTTCGTAAAAAATACTCTGAGTATTGTATTTATTAACTTCCTTAATTACGAAATGAAAAAAAAAACTGATTTTATGTGCAAAGAGGACACTATTTTAATACGTACGTATATATATATATATTCTTTCTGAAAAATTGTTATATTGTTCCTTATTTCTTTATTTTGGTTCCATGTATTACTATGTCTTTTATTGTTGTTGTTGTTTTTTTTTCCTGAAGAAGCACTAATAACAGCACACGAAACATTTCATTTAAATGAAACAGAATTTATCACTGGCTGCCTATCTCATAACTTTGTTTACCTTTAATCTGTGTTTCTTTTTAATTCACTGGATCCATCCTACCTTATTTTCTGCGGGGGGGTTGTACGGTGTTACCAACGTGATGGAGGGGTTGAGGCGTGGGGGATTGTTCTTTCGTTAGTGGCAACTTCCTCAGGAAGAGTTTGTTGTCGCTGAACGTCACATTCTCCCACGTCTGGGCTGCTGGTCAGTTGACGGTGCGATGGTGTACCAATTCCTCGGTTGCACGGAATGCCTTGGCCGGCAAGAACATACCTGCCAGTCCCCTTCATTTTCCTGACTTCACACTCTCAAACACTTTTCGTGAAGATGTTTCTTCAAAGTCACGCCAACTTCCAGAAAATTCCAATACATTCATTCTCTCTGAAATGTTTTTGATTCTTCCAAATTTGGAATTTACCTTACAGGAGATAATTCCTGAAAGCAAGAGTTCAAAAATTTCCATCCTCGTTAAATTTCAAGTCGTATCATACCGGTGTTTTTAACAGTAATCATAAACAAATTCACGCCTTAATCGCTGCCGGTACTTAAATTTTCAGAAAGACATTCTTTTCACACGCGTACAACGTAATATAATAAATATATACAAATTGGTTTCAATCAGTTCTTGTTGAATTATCGAACTTTGCATGAAATATACAACTGAAATCCCCCGGTAAGGAAAAATTTTCTTTTCTTGAATTACCATAAATTCAGATTAAGATAAAAAAAAGTCTAGAACGTTTCTGTATTCTTCTATTTATTATACACTAATAACTATAATAATTGATACACAATCTTTGCTTCCTTTAAGCCTGGTTCTGTTACTACGAAGTGCCCTCGATCGATCACGAGTTTTACTGCTTATGTACAAATTTTTTTTAAGTTCGAACGCAACCACAATTGAATTGAAAACACTTTTATACAGACTGTACCTTCTGGGTTTTCTTTTCTTTTGTACAAACACTGTAGGAAGTTCCTCACCGCTGTTATGAATCAACCGCACATTACGATTATCAATATTTACAAATGTATAAAAATGTTCTCCACTGGCATTTGAACCTCAATTCACGTGGGCTTCAGAAATAATTGTTTGACAGAAACCATCATCAACAGTGAGTGAGTGAGTGTGTTTCTTGCGGTAACACTCAAATGATTCATCAGCAGAAAGGGAGATTCGAGAGGGAGGGGGGGGGGAAAATATCTTTGCATAATTACGTACTTTGTAGTCGTTCAATGATGAATTCAAACATGGCCGCTGACTGCATAGTAATTAATTGATTAATTATGCAACACAAATCACAAAAGCTCATCGTCTTCATCTTCAATGTTTGTTTATGTAATTTTCTCGAGTTATTCCTGATCAGATGTGCACAGCGAGTATGAAATGGGGGCCTAACGTAATCGGAATATTTGATTTCTCGTCTATCCTGCTTTGACGTTGATGGTGAGGATTTCTTGGCATCGCGAGTGTTCTGAAGCTGTCAGTGGGGTTCAGTGATGAGGCCGAAAGCACTTACAGCAAATGCTAGTGAGCTGTTAGTGACTGGTGCGTAGGCATAGACTGGGGTGAGAGCATCGGTGGGCTGTGCGAATGTGAGTGTTGGCCCATCGGCGAACCGTGCATGTCCTGGTGATGGTAACCCTGGTGTAGCCCGTGTGGAGGTCCCCCTTGCAAACCCTGAGGTCCGCCTTCCATCATACCATCAGGGCCTCCGAGTGTATTTGGCGGCGTCATCCTCTTCTCTTTCTGTCGCCTGTTACAGAACCACACCCTGACGACCTCCTTCTCCAGCTGCAGACTGTCCGCTAACGCAGTGATTTCCTGAGCCGATGGCTTCGGTTGTTTGTGGAAATGTTGTTCCAGGGCGCCTTTAACCGAGACCTCAATGCTCGTCCTCTTTTTCCGTTTCCTGCCCTGAGCCGCTATCTTATCGATGCTTGTAGGTGACCCCGTCGTAGAATCGGCTTCTTCAAGCCACTTCTGAAGCAACGGCTTCAACTTGCACATGTTCTTGAAGCTCAGTTGCAACGCCTCGAACCTGCAGATCGTCGTCTGAGAGAAAACGTTCCCGTACAGTGTCCCGAGCGCTAAGCCGACGTCGGCTTGCGTGAACCCAAGCTTTATCCGACGTTGTTTGAATTGTTTGGCGAATGCTTCGAGGTCGTCGGACGTGGGGGTGTCTTCTTCGCCGCCAGACGGGTCTCTAGCGTCCGGATGCTGGTGAGGGTGTTGATGGTGCAAAGGGGACGGACTGTGGTTGATTTCCCTCAGCGAGTGGTGCAGCTGAGGACTCGCTTGGTGGTGATGATGGGCCAACATACCGTTCATCGCCGCCTGGTACGCCGCAGCGGAACTCGTGTGATGCTGCAGGGGAGATCCGGCCCCGCTGTTCGAAGACGTCGGGATGTAATGTCCTGTGGACACGACGGGAGCGTGCCAGGAATGTGGGGACGTCATCCCGCCGGCCTGCTGGTGAGGCGGAGGACCTCTCGGGTGGTGCATACCTGGAACGTCGCCGGTGGGATGAGGCGGTTTTATGTCCACTGCCGACGTTTGGTGGGGGTGGTGGTGATGTGTGTGGTGTGCATGCATTCCAGCCATGGAGGCGGTCCACGGATCTGCCCCCGAACTGGGCTGAAGACTGACCCATGGGTTATGTGTCGCAGACAGTGAGACCGGATGACCGTTTGGTGAAGGCGAAGAAGGAACTTGATGGTGATGGTGGTGGTGGTGATGATGCTGTCCGGGCGGCATATACTTCATCTCAGTGTTACTCGCATCGGCGGCAGACCTCGGCGAAGAAGTATGATAGCCGCCGACGCCCGCGTTCACAATGTTCATACCGACTACACTACCTGCAGAAGTTCCGTCTAACTCGGTAGAGATTCCCGTACTAACGGGCATGTAAGTCGTCGTAGCCATTTACCGCTACTCCCTAATAATAATAAAAGGAACACACACACATACACACACACACACACAGAGAGAGTAAAAAAAAAACCAACACTTTTCTAGGAGTTACCCCCTTTTTCCACAGGTCCACAAGGAGGGGGTGAGTACGCTCCTCGCGCGGGCGCCAGCCTGCTAAGACTTGTAAAAACACGGAGCACGCACGCACAGACACACACACAGGGACCGCGGAGCGAGCGAGACGGAGAATCCAGGCGCAAACTCATACGTTATGCATGCAGTACGACGCACTTCGGCTCTCGAACTGATGCCTTGTGCCTCGGCAGACCGGGGTCCTGTGTCCGCGCGCCCCTTCCCCCCGGACTCCACACCTCGTCCCGTCTCTCTCGCACCCGCGGGGACTCCCGTCTAACTCTCTCTCTCCGTTTCGCGCCCGACCAGAGGAGTCCCCACTTCGCCCGCACTCTCTCATCCCTTCCTCAGCGTTTCCGATTGGTGGAGTGAATATTTGAGTGGCAGTGGTTCTCACACCAGAAACCAAGTGACGTCACAGCGATAGTCTCAGCTGATTGGTAGCGGTAAGCCCCGCCTACTTTACCAGCTGGTATGGACGTTTTGGGAGGAATAGTGGCACAAATGTTGTGAACGCGGCGGAGGGAGGAGGGGTCGGAAAACGATGCTCTGAATCGGGCAGAGTGAGAACTAACACCAGTAGCTAGGCAACCGTGCATACGAGACGTATCACCGATGTTTGTTTATGTATGAAAATAACACAAATCATTTTAGCACCTGAGACCATGAACAGGTGTTTATTGGAAGCGAATTCTATGCGTCACGAAAACATTTGCCAAAGACAATTACGCTAAGAAACTCAAAATAAACCCATGTTTTGTAGATCCCTTGCCAAAAATAATAGCAGGTGTAAATTACTGATTTTAAATTTTAAAAGATTGAACGTTATCTGAGATCTATAATTTAAACCGGCAAATGTTTAAAGCTCTGAAGTACTGATCTCTTGAGTGTCAATAATTTGTTGACAAAGAGCGAAGGGAGGGTAAGAGGATTGGCAAAGGGTTTTTGTACCTACAATGCAAATCCCACGTGAAGAGACGAGTTTCGGAAAGAGTTTGCCTTCGAGTCCGCCCGTATTATGTCCGACACGACACGAACAAAGCTTACAAAGGCAGCCGACACAAGAAAGGTGTATATTTCTGACTTAACGTGGGTACAATTCTAAAAAAAATAATTAAAACTTACATGGACATACCAACGCAAGTCCTGGCAAACTCAAAAGGATTTGTGATGTTCTAATTAACTGACCAACAAAATCGCGCGCAAGTCCTGGCAACTCAAAAGGATTTGTGAGGTTCTAATTAACTGACCAACAAAATCGCTAACTAACGAACCAACTCAATGAAACAAGAGTTCATTCCGAGAAGCTGACACAAGCTCATCCGCTCGAGAAACTCGAAGGTCCTGAGCCAGACGAATTCATTTCACTCACCTGCTATTTCTTTAAAAACCCATTTTAATATTATACTCTGATATAAGCGTACACTGTCCCAAAACAGTCCACTTCTTTTAGGTTTTTTCTATTAAAATTTCCCTCGCAGACAAAATACAAAATAAGATTGCCTCTGTTGTAACGGGACTTGTAAATTATGGTCTGAAATTTTCAACCCAAAACACGTCCTCTGTTTGTGTCGAATTTTGCCTTGAATGTCAACGTCTTATTTGAAAAGCTCTACCGTTATAATTGTCACCGTGCCCTTCAGCAGAGCTTTGGGACCTCGTAACCTCACATCACGCGTAATTATCTTCCTAGAAGAGTGAAATGTTTCGTCCCTTCTATAATAAACTACGTACTTTCGATTTACGATAATTACAATGCGAAATAAAATCCATGACTCTCTGGCCGTGTGATGTTACCGCAGATGACACCAACACCTCCCTTCGTCCAGAAATTCCCTCAGGAGAATGTTCTTCACCCTTCAAGCGACACACCTTTTGGAGGGTTAGGAGGAATTCCTGAACAAAGTAACAGGTAGTCATAATTTATCTACAGATGGCCGTCTTTCGGGTTGTCGCGTCGCGTAGTCTGGCAGCTACTGGCCTTGGTTTCACAGGAGTTTACAACAACCATCATCAGGGCGATGGTCCTGCGAAGCTCGTAGCTGTGAGAATCTAAATCGTACAATTACGCTGTACGTTTCTACATTTTGATCAGGCGAGAAGTGAATATATATTCTCCAAATCTGTTCCCGAATGCAGTAAAACTCTGTCAGGAGTAACCCAAGGTGGACCGACCGACTCTTAAAGTTTCCGTACAGTCGAAGTTCACCCTCGGCCCTGGCAAAAATTGAGGGGAGGGGTACGTTAGGGTATGTGGGCTGAGGGTGACAGACTGCGCTCAGGTGTTAGGGTGACTTGTTATTGTTAAGGGTAGCAAATATACAACACGTTTCGAAAACATAACCCCCCACGGCAGTCGATTTTCGTTTTAATGCAACGAAAAAGATTCTACTCATATTAGAAATGGACCAGAACCCGGTCCATATCTTCATCTTCGGCACTGAAATAACGCATTGGACCTCCCAATCATTCTACCAGACATTACTTAGACTATAATCATTTTAACGCAGGTGGGAAATTTTATGAAGACGATGCACCCCTAACGAATCATTTCTCAATGTTCGTGTCGCTACTAACTTACTGAGTGTAAACTATACATTCGACACACCTGAACAAGCACGAGATTCCTTGATTTTATAATTCACTGGCGAGTTCACAAAAGCCGTGTACTGGAAAAAAAAATTAAAATCCGTTCACAAATAACTTTTCTCTGTAATTTCCGTTTTAATATTATGATACCAACTATGGCCTATAGGCTTTCCGTCTGAGATTTTGCCAGCATCGCTAAATCAACTGGAAATAAATATGAGAACAAGGAAATAGAAAATACGCGCATAAATTATTCGAATGAGGCAGGTATAATGTTAATGTAATCGATATCAGCGAATTTTGGGTTTTCTGTTTTGTGAATATGCGGCAAACCTCGAGTACAGATTCGCAAACACATCTTAAAGCGGATGTCTTACGTCACAAAAGCAACTTAAAGCTGATATATTAAGTTACAAACACTGAAGACACAGAGGCAGGTAGGCTTTTGTGCTATCAAATTCGTGTCTTTTTGTCCACTCCGTATTCTTAAGGCCGGATACAACTGTACCAAGGGCAATTAAGGCTTTCCCCAGTCACTACTATTATATTTTTAAGTTATTTAGAAGTTAAATTTTAATAGCATTTAAATACAAATAAGAATATGTTAGTGTTTGAACTACGCGGAACGAAAGACTGTAAGATCAATTGCTATTAAGTTTCGTCTGTAAACTAAATAATTCGAGAAAAAAAAATCCCTTCGATTCTTTCCCACCAAACGTAAGGAAGACAAGCTATAAGTTTAAATCAACGATTTCTGTGTTATATAAGCGTATCACGTTTCGACCTGCGACAGGCTTAGAATATTTATTTTCAATTCGAACTCTGGCTAGATTAACAGTTCCTGTGACCTGATCATTCTCAGTTTTCCTCAGTACCTCCTTACACAAATAACGAGAAACACAACTTACGTTCAATTATGGAACGACCGAATTGATTTTAAATCTAAATAGTACACTAAAATGATATAGTGTCGTTAAACAGACTAATAAACATACGTAAATAACATATATTTAGCACAGAGATAAGAAAATTCACTTCAGTTCCTTGTTTTAAGCTCAAATTATTTATGTAGAAACACACTCAGGTATTTAAACCAAAAAATTCATCGTTATATATCAAATTCACTCTTTCGTAAGTACATCAGGTTGTACCCTCTCGCTTTACATTAATTCTAGCGTCAACTGGTCGATCATTGTCGACCCTGAAGAACGTTAATATCAAACAGTAATCGACTGGTCGATCATTGTCGACCCTGAAGACGGAAGCGATACGTTACATCGAAACGTCAGTAACCAACTACAACTCAGAAAATAAAAATCGATATCTTCGCCGACACAGATAATAATGTATAACACAACAACGTCTCGTTGTCATATTCGCCCCCGTCCTACCCCAGTCCAGTGATGAGGAATTTCTCGGGGGGTCTCCTGTACTCTGCGAGATATATCGCCTTGGACCCAGTTTAATATGGGAGATTTCGATGGGCTAGACATGTAGCTGGAAGGGAAGACAATAGATACGTACAGAATCTCGGTGGTAAATTAATAATCGTAATACACAGGGCAATGGTCAACTTGCTAGCCTACGCGAATCCTTGCTGATACCTGACCAGTTTCAACCTAACCAAAAACACATGCGTTTTACCGAACGAATAGTAACTCGCACCAGATACGTAGGTCAGTGGTATGAGGCAGAGCTTCGGACGGGGGGGGGGTAGAATGAAAGGTCCCGGACAGGAGAAAAAGGTGGCCTACACCCCTGTCATAAACTGGCATCCGAGCTCCCCAGGATACATACGGTCCAGCGCTATTGTTCGCGAGTCTTACAGCCAGTCACAGGTAGGTAGGACCACAAGAACCCTTGAGCCCCCGGCAGGCAGCGAACTGAAACACGTCCTCCGTCTTCTTCCTTGGTTCTTATCCTCCACAAATTCTCTTCGTTTCTCTTCTCTCGTCTCTTCCGGTCTTTGTTCATTCATTTTCCAACTTTTATCCATATCCTCCCCCCCTTTCATCCTTCTTTCGCTCTTCATTTTCTACAATCTTTTTATTTTCTCTTTCTATACTCCCATCCCATCATTATTTCCCCTCCCACTTTTCCATATTATCTACCGCGTTTAATTATAAGCCTGTATTTAAACTTTAGCGAAAGTCTTAAACTGATAAGCTTCACGTTTCCTTAAACGTTAATCCAATTAAAATTCCTAAACATGATCGTCAATGTTGCATCAAAGTTCTTCTAACTCCATGACAACACGGTTCAGTTCCAGGCAGAAGAAACTAGGTTACCATTCGGTGGCCCGATACCTCCACGCCCCCATACATCTTCATGGCGAAATGCTTAATTAAGCACAGGGACAACTTCGAATTCTCTGCTTGTCAATAATTACGACAGTAAATCTGCAAAAGGCTGACAGAGTCTTACAAAGAGCACGTGGAAATTATTACACACTTCGTAGAATGAGCAAACGCTGTGTAACGGAGCCTCTCCGATATCCGCCCGTCATCATAACATCCTCAAAGTCTGTTCTTATTCTTTCAGACATCCGGTTGCAAAAGCCCGTGTCGATTTACCAAATGTCACTCTATTTCAGGCACTTACTGGAGGAAATTTAACTTTACATGAGTGGTATCTCTGATTTTATGGAAAATATTTAAAAACTCACCGCCGATTCTGTCAGCAACCACCACGATCTCCACGTTCCAATTTCTCACACGTCAGGTACGCCTCCTGGAACGACATTAACAGTAAACAATTATTATTATTATTATTATTATTATTATTATTTAGTGTTCTGTCTGACGACAGGTCCATATGAACAGGATCCTTCCATCCTTTTCTCGGACTGGGACCTGTTCATATACGTTCTTGGCAGATGATCCAAAAGTGGTTTGCCATTGCCTTCTTCTGTGTGTGAATGGAGTAATTGTTGGGATGCCACGGAGGAAAACTCCGTGTTGCCTAGACCACGGCCTTGCCCAACACAAGTTAAAAATTTCGGTTTGTGAACAAGTATTGCAAAGTTAGCAAAGCGACCGAGTTGCCTGTATCGCATTGAATGAATAAGCCAAGACTAGGATGGATTGAAGCCCAATAGCACTTAATGCACCTCTTAGTGAATGTGAGCAATGTCACTTTAGTAACTAATTAATTATTTGTCTACTCGACCTATTATCATCCTTACAGTTAGTAGAACACGCCACCAAAGTTTGACCAGACATTTCAGGATCACCCTGTATATATATCGCTATTGAATCTTATAAAGCTTTCTTGATGTTAGCTCCCATATGGAGATGTGACACTAAAGGTGTGATATCACTTACGATAGATCTCCAGGAATTAATGTATAAAACGTCACGTGTCTAAGCAGACCTGTCCAAAAAAGGCGGACGGACATGACGGCACGTGTACAAAATGCTACCTCAAGCGGACCCAAACCTGCAGGTCACATTTAGACTTTCAAATGTCGAAAGCATCAGACGCAAACTACGAACACTTTATAGCAAATGCGACTGGCCGATACGAGTTAGTGTTAGACACGTGGGACCTACGTAACTACGTACATGCGGCTAACAGTTGCTATCCGAGCCAAAAAAAAATCTGCCTGTTAAAAAAAACTGTATGTTCATTACCGCCCTTACAAAAGCCCTTCTAAATCCTAGGTCATGTGTAACATTTCATATGTGAACGTGGATGATACTAACCACAATTTCGACACGGACTCGCCTGGGTTGAACCCAGGCCTAGGCGGTGAAAAGCCGGTGACTAACCACCTGAGCTATGGCAAGGCCGAGGGTCTCAATGCATACGAACACCAGTTTTGAAATAAGCGATACAATTTTTAGCCACACTGCTGAATTAATCACAAACGTGATACCTACTTCATGTTCCTTTCTGTAAATCTGGTCTTTGTCTCATCAAATTAAAATATGACAGGTAACAAAAAAATACATTCGAACGAAAGGGAGGTCACAGTTTAAATGTAAATGAAACTTCGGTGTCTCTATTCACCGTTGTTATTTTTGATTAAATGATGGCAGCACTATCGGTTATCGGTGTTTCGGTATACGAACTCCATTAACAGGTGACAGAATCATGTCCTCTGCGTTGCTTTATTGACAAATACTGGAAAATCGAATATCTTTCTGACGTAAATATTTTGTTTTAAAAATTAATTCAGAAGTCACATTTACCTCCTCCCTGACAAAACAGATGAAATTTCCGCTGGTAAATTAATTTTTATTTTATGTAACACACTTTTGCTTCCAGATAAGTGACAAGTGTGTGTGTGTGTTGATAGAACGTCAATTAATTACGAATTGATCAGCGTACAATATGAAATGATTACGGTACAATCCCCGAGTTTAACTCGGAGGCTTTAGCGGCACTAGGAGGGAATTATGGCCCCGTCATTGTGGACAACCTGAAATCGAACACAAATCACGTGTCATCCACAATATGTCGAGAAACCCCCGGCTGATACCGCCACGATTTGGGAGCAGAACAAGCGTTTTGATTAGAGTGACATATCATGAGATTATTTAACATCGTCGTACCTGACACCAACGTTCAGTCCCTTGTAAAGGAGCGCGTCCTCAGGATTCGAATGGAGAAGGCGGCCTCCAGCTATGGAGCGCAGCTGCGAGTGTACTGAATAAAAAGTCGAGGATAGATGATAAGGTTGCCTACCTTCCCAAGGACAAATTTTCTCGTTCAAGTGTTAAAAAGACTCCTGTATGGGAATTAACAAAAACTCAAAATAGATTTTTCTTTAAAAAAATGCATTTAACCTATAAGGGAACCTGTGATCTCTGAATTAAGACACTAACAGACTCAGACACCTCTAGGTTTGATCCTCGGCTAGATTTGTGTGCGGATTGCTCACTGACTGTAACAGTAACCCCTTTTATATTTTATTATTTATTTAGTGTTCTGTCTGACGACAGGTCCATATGAACAGGATCCTTCCATCCTTTTCTCGGACTGGGACCTCTTCATATACGTTCTTGGCAGATGATCCAGAAGTGGTTTGCCATTGCCTTCTTCTGTGTGTGAATGGAGTAATTGTTGGGATGCCACGGAGGAAAACTCCGTGTTGCCTAGACCACGGCCTTGCCCAACACAAGTTATAAATTCGGGCACCGCCGGGAATCGAACCCGAGACCCCCAGGATTACAAGGCCAGCGTTCTAACCGCTAGACCCCTACAAAAAAAAAATTAATACCAGCCCACTACCGCGTAATTTATCTTAGAGAAATTGCCAGTTATGATTTAGTTCACCTAAAGCAGGCAGTGAACAATATATTATAGACACGCCTTCAAGATATGGAATCTCCAGGGTAGAAATGAATATACAAACAAATTTTCCGACCAATCAAGATGCGTCCTGCGTCGACACAGCCAATGCATCTGACTCCTACGCTGTATACAACGTAATTTTAATAAACTCAGTCCTTTTATGTGAGGTTCGTCCCAGAAGCTGTCGTTTGTCAAGGCACGACAAAAAGAATTCCAGAACAAATCCAAACACGTGCAAATGTAAATCAGAAGCCAAGCTCAAACAAGGGTGTTCACACAGTTATCTGTTGTGCAAATGTTCCCGTACTGATGTTAATATGCAGACTGTTCCCGACACTCCCCCTCCCAAAAAAGTGGATCTACTTGGCTGTATTCGGGTTGCGTATCGTTGCGGGTTGCTGTGCGCTCCTACGACATTATCAATGTAAATTTGCATTAGTGGTGCATGTAGCATGTACTAAGAGACCGCGCTGATGTGGATGGAACTCGCCTGCTGTCGCTTGGGGGTTGCACAGGGAGATGAAGTGAACGCGAGGGGGTGAGTGTCTCACGCGGAGCGCTATTCACTTGTTTGTACTAGCTGCTATGATACGCGATCTTGTACCTTTGCGCCGGGCTCAAGACTTTACGTTTACTAAGGTTTAAGAATAATTAACTCGTGGAACAGAGCTGATAGTCGCTCAGCTGATGAATAAAATTATTCACTCGAATTTTTATTTTCATGTTTTCAGAGGAGTTCGGTTCCCTCCAGTGTCACTGATTTCCTTTAAAAAAAAAAGATCCCGCGTTACAAATTCCGAGACACTTCTTCATTTTTAGCAGAAGTAAAATGGACAGGAACGGAATCTAGATTAAATTTCACAGGTTTAAAATGTTTTTAAGTTTTGTCACCTCGGGAAGCCGATATGGCCTCAGGGTTAGATTTCTGACGGGGATACAGAATTTCGAGTCCACCCAGCCTCCTACACGTCGGAGGATGAGAATGCATGGAGTCTCATCTCCGTTCCACCATACTTTTACGTGACGAGGTGCTTAAGGAGACGTGAGTAATTTACCTGTAACAGATTCTAAAATAACCACCTTCTTTGTCCGGAAAATACCCTAAGCGACATAATTCTTCCAACGAAATGTGTGTGTCTGTCCGTTGTCATGGTTACGGCCAGCGATTGAGTTAGTACACTAACTAAATGCACCTTAAAATGCTGTCAATTTACGACGATTTTAATGCTACAGGTTTTCAAACATTTTTACTTCATTTGATACAGAAAACTGAAGCAAAGGTCAAAATTTGCAAGTAAAATTTTTTAATGCAAATAGAAATATCTTGCCCCCCCCCTCCCAAAAAAAAATGTAGTTTTCTTAGGGTACAAATATGTCCGCCGTCCGCATGGACAAAATCCGTTATTCCAAGAGTTAGTACTTCTTCAGACACTCGACAGATGACAGCACTATGCAAGGTTACGTTCGAAAGGATGAAAGTCCCCTCTCATCCCCCACTACGTTTATCGGGAGACCACAGAATCAATGTTTGCCTGTTATCGGATCAATAAAATACAGAAACTGTAAAACATCTTGACTAGGGTTATAAACAAAACGAAACAAATTTTATACACTGACAAGCGGAGAGGGAGACTCTAGGGGAGGGGAGGGGGGGAGGCCTTAACCTTGATTTTTTTTTCTTCAAAAAGTTAAAAGAAACGAAATGTTAAGTATTCCAAATACAGCCTTACCGACGTTGACAGATTTCGAAACTGATTTTAACAAATGACGATCGGTCTTCATCAATTGATGCTCTTAGATTTCCATTAAAAAGGTTACCCAAGGTCAAGATCTATGTAAATGTTTCCGATTGCTGACGTAAAAATACGCTCCGTCTCTTGTACCAAGGGAAGACCACGGACTCGGGGTGCTTAGCGAAAACCGCGTAATGATGTGTTCTCCTCACCGATCACTGAGGCGATCTAACTAATCAGGACGAGATGGGGGTCGCATGCGAAATAACAAATGCACACGTAATTTTAATTGGGCAACCTGAAGGTAAGAAAGTACTTGAAAAACCTAGGTACAGATTTCAGGATAACATGAAACGAATCTCAAAAAAAAACAGCGTGTTAAGATATTGAGTGGATTCATCTGGCTCAAGATAAAGGCATAAAGCGAGGTCTTCCGAACACGGCAATGAACCTTGGGTCTTCATAAAAGGCAGGATAATTTCTTGGCCAGCTAAGCAACAGTAACAGAACTCATTAATTTCATTATCACTTTATCTTTAAGTACATTAGATTCACTTTTATCTCTTTTGTAGGTAAAGGACCACGCCTACCACCCGTACAAAACAAGATAAAATAATCTGTACATAAGTATTCATTACATGTAAATGTTTAAATAGCGTATTTTAAAATCTAAGATGCAAAGAACATTTAAACATGTAT